TTTATCAGTAATTTTGATACAGGCGAGATAGAAAGGGACATTGTCACCTACAAAACTAATTCACAGAAACTAAATCCAAGGAAATAAATGTTTATGTCCAAAATTTCATTTGTCATTGATATGCATTCTCCCTACATGTGTTTGTAACTGTAGGAAAAAAAAAAGAATGTAATGGATTTTTCTGAATGGATGATTTCATGGAATATCATATAATATGTTTCCTGGAGATGGTTTGATTGCTGGTATCATTTATGGAACCGTAAAAACAAAACACTAATTGAAACAGATGGATCATACATGATAAAAAAATATATTGTTCATCGTGCAAACTTTTCGTTTTTAGAGATTCATGACCAATGAAGTGACACAGGTTGCGAAGCAGCTATACATCAAAGTCCTACAGAACACATCGGTAAAAAATATTAGCAATTTTTAAAACATTTTTGCTGCAATTTAAACAGTGACAAATCGAGTGGGCCAGACAGTGAAATTGTCTCAAATCAGAGGATGTAAGCTAGAGTTTGTTGGACGTTTTCTCGCTAAATAAAAACCTCTGTGTGAAATCTACTTATACCAAAATATCAGTGACAGTGGAGATTCATTCCAATACATTAATTACATTGGCCAGACTATAAAGCACTGGTCGATTCTCATGCATCAGATGTTAGATCACCGTGGAAACCAAAAATGCCCAGTTATACCAGACTTCATACACTGTAACAAAAGACAGAATTTTATCTTCCAATCCCGCATTGTCAAACAGAAGTCTGATACACATCCATTACATTGGTTCCTTTTTTTAGCAGGATTAGTTTGTTGAAGCTGGTGTCCGGAAAGGATACTGCTTCCTATGCTGGCTAAGACTAACGTCTGATAACAGATCGATGATGCGTTTTGTCAGATTATAGCCAAGTGTTACAAAATGTCTTTATGTCATCTTTCACACATAACTGTCAAGCCATGCTAATTCAATTAAACCCCAATGAACTGCAAGACACTAAATCTTCATACAAAATCAGACAGATATTGTTTTAGAGGAAATGAAAAATTCATGAACATATCAATTGCAAGATAAATGTGAATGTCTCATTTTTAAAGGCGCCATGGTGACATTACAGTATAAAGAAACAAAGGTAAGTTCTGAGGTAAAATATATCAAAAGTCAGCACATTGTTGTGTAGTTCAGTTACAGATGCAAAATGTATGGTCAATTTTTACTTCCATCATCAGATAATCTGACCTGGATGAAATATGCTACTCAGTTCTAAATCACCCAGCTTTAAAATAAGGTGTTAAAGGAATTCTTTTATCATATTAGTTATATATACTAAATTCTGATTGGCAAACTTGCTATGGAAACATGCTTTCTGAAATCTTAAACCATACACACTTTACTCTGATAGACTCAGCCCACCTAGCTGTAAAAACAGGTAGAAACAAAGTACCTGTACTAAGTAATCCTCTGATGGACTGGTTGTCTTTTCAAGAAAGAGAAATGTGTTATATACCCTTAATATCACTTGATCATGTCTACAGCACCAGGACAAGCATATTTCAGAAAATTATGAAATGGCACGGAACTCAATTCAACAAACAGATGTCAAATTGACACCAAAAAATAACATACTCATATAAATATTACATATTTAATCACAAACTTCCAATGAAATCTGTTCATTACTTTTGAGGATGTCCAGACAAACTATTTACTAATTGCTAGAAAAACAGACAGATGGACATATAGATGGGTATTATCATTCTAGGTTGATTTAAACTTCAATATAATTAATATCACGTTAACTTGATCTAACCTTGATGGATACAATGATCAGCAATCATCATTTGTTTTGAATAACAACAAAAAACTATCTGATATTGTTAACAGATGGCATCAGTTGTTAACTGCCAGATAACTAATTTTATGGCCATTTGTAACTCAATCACACACATCCCATTGACTCATTAACATTGATGGTCTTTCTACAATGGGTCACAGAAATCTTCTAGTTACACGAAACCCTGAACTAATACCACTGAGAAACAGATTTCCCTTTAAACACTTACCTAACACAGACTTTATACATCTATATATCTTTATACAGTAAAATTTGTTTAAATAGTTTGATCAAGACTTAAATCATTACACTGATTAAACACTGACAAAACAGAAATTCAAAAGATATTTTTAATATCTCTTCATTACAATTACCATTTTGACCAAGACATGATTTTGTATCTATATTTCAAATACATCTTAACAAGCTTCCTTGGTTCTGAATTTGAGATATCCATTTTTGTAAAAAAAATATCAAAACATTTTTTTTTCATATCTACTTTTTCTTGTAATTTTATTTAATTTTACTGATTGTCTTTTGCTTCGAAGCTCAACAAGGTCAAAAGAAAACACAGGAAAGTGTTAATGAAAGATGGAATTTCTGACAATGCCTTACGACTAAGTATAAATCACTCTGTGAACCTTCTAAGGAGCCTATGACACTCCAATGATCAAAGACCATCTCAATGAATAATGAAAAAATTCATTGATTTGTTCTGTATGATCACAACTTCCTAACATATCTCATACAGATGCTGCATACAAAATTACATTAAGTCTGACATATCACCTGACTCAAAATATTGACCAAATCTTGGTATGTTGATGATTAACTCATCCCACACTAGTCTTCTGAAGGTTCATCATAACTACTCTGATACAATGGCACTTCAATCATACAGGGATACAGCGAATACTTGATACTGGGAACTTAAATCATACAGGGATACAGCAAATACTTGATACTGGGCACTTCAATCATACTGGGATACAGCGAATGCTTGATACTTGGAACTTCAATCATACTAGGATACAGCGAATGCTTGATACTGGGCACTTAAATCATACAGGGATACAGCTAACTTGATACTGGGAACTTAAATCATACAGGGATACAGCGAATGCTTGATACTGGAAACTTAAATCATACAGGGATACAGCGAATGCTTGATACTTGGAACTTCAATCATACAGGGATACAGCAAATACTTGATACTGGGAACTTAAATCATACAGGGATACAGCGAATGCTTGATACTTGGAACTTCAATCATACAGGGATACAGCAAATACTTGATACTGGGAACTTCAATCATACAGGGATACAGCGAATGCTTGATACTGGAAACTTAAATCATACAGGGATACAGCGAATGCTTTATACTGGAAATTTAAATCATATAGGGATACAGCTAACTTGATACTGGGAACTTAAATACTGGGATACAGCGAATGCTTGATACTTGGAACTTAAATACTGGGATACAGCGAATGCTTGATACTTGGAACTTAAATCATACAGGGATACAGCGAATGCTTGATACTGGGCACTTCAATCATACAGGGATACAGCGAATACTTGATACTTGGTATCTAAAATTCAAGGTTTATTTGCACAAGAAGCTCAGATGGAAGCCAATATGTCTTTGCCAAAGCAAACCTGGCATAATTTACTAGATTTATCCAGTTTTTTTTTACACTGATTATAATCGATAATCAGGAAATATGACAGAGAAACCCTTTCTATTGTTTCTCTTACATTAAATGACCTTACTGAAACAAAACCCTATTACTTGAGTTTGAGACTTTTTTTATTTTTTCATTCTGTCAATATTGTGTATCCCTAAATTAAGGAAGCATTTAACAGTCAGTTGCAATACCACTTGCAATTTAGGTAATACAAAACCACCTCTACAGATAAGATAAAAAAATTCCTTTATCAAACAAATTCTATAACTCAGGTATAATGTAATGCTTAAGAGATTAATATTTTTAGAAGTGTTATTCAACTCACGAATTCCCAAAAAAGGGAGGATACTAAAAGCTCTTTACATATCAAACAAATGATCTTTAATAAATTCCACATTACATCAACACCCATGTAATATCCTTGATATCTTAAATAATATACAGACAAAAAACAAACTGGAATACCCTGTTTACAAACACAACCTACTATAGGAATCAAGCCCCCAACTACTACCACATCAGGGTTCAAGTGCTACTAATTGCTAATGCTCCAGAATTCGCAGTTGACTGAAGATGACTAACTTCAGTTTTGCTTTAAGATTCAGTTAATAAGAACATTTTAACAGTCAAGTATCACAGCATTAACAAGCTGTATACATTCAACCAAATAAAAAGTTTCACAATCTACAAAGAAAGTCCAGATTGGAATAAAGTTCTTAGTTTGGATTCTGATCATGAGAGCTACTCAGTAGTAGCTGCTTCCAATACAGAGGTTGAGCTGTTTTTGTTAGTTTTAATGGGATGAAGATGAGAGTGTAAATTATCAGGTCAGTGATAGGGAAATCATATCTATGGATCACCAAAATGTTTGTAACTACCTGGCAAATGATGAAGAAAGCTTATCTATGGATCACCAAAATGTTTGTAACTTATCTGGGAAATAATGAGGAAAGCTTTTCTATGGATCACCAAAATGTTTGTAACTTATCTGGCAAATAATGAGGAAAGCTTTTCTATGGATCACCAAAATGTTTGTAACTTATCTGGCAAATGATGAGGAGAGCTTTTCTATGGATCACCAAAATGTTTGTAACTACCTGGCAAATGATGAAGAAAGCTTATCTATGGATCACCAAAATGTTTGTAACTTATCTGGGAAATGATGAGGAAAGCTTTTCTATTGATCACCAAAATGTTTGTAACTACCTGGAAAATGATGAAGAAAGCTTATCTATGGATCACCAAAATGTTTGTAACTTATCTGGCAAATGATGAGGAAAGCTTTTCTATGGATCACCAAAATGTTTGTAACTACATGGCAAATGATGAAGAAAGCTTATCTATGGATCACCAAAATGTTTGTAACTTATCTGGCAAATGATGAGGAAAGCTTTTCTATGGATCACCAAAATGTTTGTAACTTATCTGGCAAATGATGAGGAAAGCTTATCAAGACATCACAATTTTTTAAACTTACCTGGGCATACTCCTTCTCTATAATAGATCTCTGCCTAGCAAAATTTCTGAAAATAATCAGAGAAACACATATCAGTAACGACATTCATGGATACTTTTCAATATGATTTGATCTTCTTATTTACGACATTTATCTTATCATATTAAAATACATGATATTTGTATAGTTTACTACAATAATGAATAAACCCCAGCTTGTAACATTAATGTTCACCATTCACTGCCAACTTGGCCTACCATTGCACTGTCTGATCATACCATATACATGATGTAAGCCACTCAACACATGTCATAGCCTGACCTTGCACTTTTAATAGAATAATTACACTCATTCACCCGAGCTTTTCAGTAAAAGCCATCACATGAACTTAATGAATTCCAACAATTGAAGAAGCATTTCAAATTTTATCAATATTGTGCTTTTCTGCCCTTCACAGAATGAGTTTGGACCCTTAGATTTGCTAATTAAGTTACAAATATCAATATCTTAAATTGTAAACATGACTTGAAAGTCATTTTTTAATCATTCTTAAGGCAATTTATGAAGAGCCTTCTGTTGTAACTGGCCTGAGGAATTGTGTAAACCTATATATCTATACTAGATTGAGAACATGATCATCAAAACTGCTGTATAGTATATGTATAAAATTAAGTCACAAGTCCATACTCACTAATAAGCCCACTTTTAAAAGTCAACAATGCTATAAAATTATTAAAATTTTCAAGGTATTTCCACTCAAACCTGTCTATAAAGACCACTCACGGGACCTAAAATGTGTTGAAACAGGTATTTGCTATATGCAGGTCGCCTTCATAGACAGGTATGTTATATACACATGACCTTTAAAGACAGGTTTGTTATATACTGGTGGTCATTATAGACAGAAATTTAAAATAGACATGTGGCCTTTATAGACAGGTAAGTTATAAACAGGTGGTCTTTAAAGACAGGTATGTTAAATACAGGTGGTCTTAACAGACAGGTAATTGTTACATATATATGGCTTTTAAGACAGGTTTCACATAAATTATAATATTACAGAAATTAAAACCATGTAAAAACTTAAACATCTGCTCGTTTGAGACTTTCTATCAATATGTTTCTTTACATGTGTTGTAAAGTTCACAGATTTAGAAATTAAAGGGACATTTTATTTATGATACAGGTGCTCAAGTCTAAATCATTCAATAGCTTACCTATTTGACCTTTCATAAAATACCACGCTGGCTTTTGTAACATTAGTATTGGAAATGTTCAGAAACTTTTAATTCTCACATGAGTCTTTATTAACAATCTGTGTTTAGCCAGACCCTTCAAGTCATAAATATACCATAAATAGGCCATATTCATACCCATGATTTCCCTCTCAGGAGTAAGTACCAATAAAACACCCCTCCGACACATACAATTCATGTATTGTAAAATCAAATTCAGATATTAAACTTTATTTCTATAATATGCATGTTGTCCATACAGCAATCTAAGGATTTCACAGAAAACAAAATCATAATTGCAACATCTGTATGATATTATCTTGCAATTTCGATTGATTTCTGCAAGAACCTGTAATAATGAAATATGCAATTGCATAAAATATTGCCATTTTTAAACTTGAAACATGCAAAAATTTCTTTTTTCTTTTCCATCACAGCTATATCATCAATGCGGAATTTTGTAACAAAAGTATTATCATCAAGCATCAAACAGAATGTTTACACAACAAGCCAATTTGTGTTCCGTCATTAATATGGGCTTCCTCTTTGTTTCCATAACAACTGCACAGTAGTTGTGACTGCCATAGAAATGATAATACTTGAGATCTGCTTCAGATAAACAATTGAAAATTTTTTTTGTTTTTTTCAAAGTTGCAAGATGATAAATTAGCATGATTAATGCAGGACTTTTTTTTCACTATTTTTCCAAACTTTAATTAAAGAAACATAACTGTAGTATCCTAAAGGCAGAGCACTGTCTTAAATAATACTTAAATGGAGACGATCCATGTCAAAGTATCAACCATAAGGGAGGGGGCCAACAATTAATGAAACAATTAAAAGGGGGTTGGAAATGGGGTTGGGAGGGGGCCAACAATTGATGAAACAATTAAAAGGGGGTTGGAAATGGGGTTGGGGTGAGAGAATTGGGGAGTGGAGAGGGAAAGGTCCATCAGTAATTTCCATGGGTATAAAACAATATATAAAGTCATTATGAAAGCAACAATTAAGAACAAAGATTGATAAAGTCAACATTACTGTGACAAGAATGAAAGATTCTATTTATCACATTTATCAAAACTCATAAGAAAGGAAATTAAAACCCTGTGATCTTTTTCCTGTTAAAAATGCAAATTTTAATGTACACTCGAGACAATGCTCTGCAGTAAATTATAACATAATACTGAAGGTAATTCAAAGTATAAAGTTAATCATGCCTTCCAGATCATCCGAAGGAAAGCGAACAATGGGACCAGTGCTGAAGAAATTTATTTTCCTACTGCAATAATGAAATTTTATTCTTGTTTCTTTTTTCCAAAGAAAACCATTCAAGTGATCAACATTTTCACTGACTATACCACTTTCAGGAGAATAGACACAAAAAGTGCATTTCCTGAGATGTTTACAATTTCTCAAAGTGCTCACACTCTTGGATAATACCCACACTTCACACATATTAAGAGAGTTGGAAAGATTGAAACTCTAAATTTATATGAAAATCTGCTGTGCCTGTGAACATTTTTACTAACAGTACAACAAAATTTTTGTGAAATAAGTTGTGCATTAAGCTAAGCTCAACCTGCAGGCTAGAAAACTGAGCAGTAACAACGTCTCAATTACTCAACCCAAGTTCAATGCAGTTATCATCAAAACTCTACAGCTGATCATTAATGAAATTCAATGCCTAGCATGGCATTCCGCTGTGCTTTCTACAACCATGTGTCCAATGTACCTTATCCCAAAGTTTCTTAAATACATCAATTTCATCAAACAAAAAATAAGAATAAAAATGAAACTTTCTAAAAGCCATTTCATCACAAGTTCCATGTACAATGTGTATACCACCAAATTGCATTAAATATTGCCATCTGGACTTCTTTGAAAAGAGTGCTGCCAAAAATTTGCAAAGCAAGAAACAAATTTACTTTGTGCAAATTGGTAGTTATATTTCATTATGGCTGAAATAGGTCTCGTCAATGCCATTTTATGCTACAAGAGATTCTCTTATTGGTGAATCTGCATTCGTGACCACGATTCTGTATGAGAAAGACACGACACTACAGTAAGAACCTTTATTAGATCTTCTGACAACAAGTTGTGAGCAAAGGCAGCACTGGATCGTGCCGCAGGGCTCACGTCTAGTGATACGCCTATTCTGCTCGATCTAGAAAACCAATAAATACAGGCGGCAGCTGATCACGTCTACAGCAACACTTATTGAACGACATCAACATAGTTGTCAAACAAACTGTCCAATGTCAAAATATTTGTGATTGTATAAATAAGAGCTTTTAAATGTCCTGAATGTGTTTCTTGCTCCTAGATGCTGAAGTCAGTAAGAATAAATTCTGTAGCACTTAAGGTATCGCCCACTCCATTCAATATTTTTTTTCATCTCTAATTTTTTGAAGAACTATATAATCTGCAAAATTCACCTGCACTGTAATAGGTGCTTTCTATGGTCTTCAGGAACTTCCTAACAATGTAATTGGAACCCATTCATGACTATTTATATAGTTTTCTTTGTTCGATTTTTCTTCTGGTCAATTTCTACTTCTGTTGAACACTACTTTTTCAAAACAAAAAGCAAATCCCTACAGTCACACTCTATACCCAAACCCAGGACAATACTTGTTTTAAATGCCTTCATAAATTTTCGCCTAATTTAATAAATATGGCAATTTCCAAACAAAACATTAGATATGGTTATGCCAGGAAAATCACATAATATTTCACATTGACATAATAAATAGTTAATACCATAATGATCTGCCAACTCTAACAGAGAAATGTAAACACTATACATGTGGAACAGCATTTTATCACTGAAATAAATTGCATCAACAAATGTACCAGAAATATCATCTCATCTAACAAATGGACAGAGAAGCATTTTTAATCCTTAATTTGAACAGTTTCTACGACCATTTATTATTCATAAGATTAATAATCCAATCTGGAGTCTATAGTGACTGTTTTATGTCCCTAGAATGTATCTTGTTCCTTGTTCGTTCCTTTATTTGTCTCCCCAACATCATTAGACTACAAAGGTATTAATTAGGAAAGTACTACTGAACAACTCCAGCACTTCACTTGCCCCTCAAAGTACTAGCCAAAACCTTCTGGTCTAAAAATATTTCTAAAAAGTTTGGTTAGCTTTAACTGTGGCAGTGGTTTAAAAAATCAATCTTAAATTAGCCTTAAATAATTCAAAAATAATAACTTTTGAGTTTAAAATTTAATTAGTATTTAAACTCAGCATTCCTGATAGGAAGAAAAGTATGAAATAATTTAAAAACTGTCAAATGTCTTTATAAAAATAATGATTGTTTCCAGATGTTATTTATTAAGCTGACAGTTTGAGCCATTTTAGTCCTTGTGGTGGTAGCCACTTGTCATTTGTTTATCTTCAGTAGCATCAGCTGACTCTGTGTACACTTGAATTAATGAGGCTGTAGAAGTCCTATCAAGGGTTTCTAGTTGAAGTTAACACTATTCCTTCCTATTTATTATTATAGTAACAAACAAAGGACATCCAAAGATTTGCAGAGTAAATTTAGTCATATTTTACAATACATATTTCACAAGATGACATCAGATTTTATTTGTACTATTTTGGGAATGGGCCCTAGGGGGATAAGATTGGGAAAAATACATTGTGTGTGTCTTCGATGAAGAATTTATACAACATATCAAAGGACTATCTATTGTCTAAACACCATTAAGGACACAATCATTCATCAATGTTTTATTTCATCTAATGTTGAGATTTTATTCTGGGATTTTTTTTCATAAATATTAAGGAAAAAGCTAGATTTATAAATGCAGAGGG